ATTGTTTATTATACCAACTAGTGACGCTATTACATAAACCAATAAAAATCCTGTGCATAATAGGACCAAATATATTAACATGAAACTTAAAGTAATATTATTTTAACGATGAGCTGGTCACATGAAATCATTTCGTATCCTACAATCAGTGGAAGCTGGTGGAATTCGAATTTGATTTGCTTTTGGCCTGTCGAGTTTGTTTATGCGGTTTAAACCATTCGCATCATTGAGATCTTGCCGGGAAATCATGGGAACAACCAGTCCATGGGAATCTCTTTCGATCCGCTTTTTATATAAAAAATCACAGATCAGAATTAATTTATAGACTTGGACGGTAAAGGACCAGAACCTTTTATTGTAAAGCAGGCCTATAGAGACAACTCAAAGAGTCATAGGTAACCCCCACGCTTTACGTGTCAGTTAAATTAATAATAATAATCCGTGGCTCCCTCAACGCGACGTAATTTAATCAATCCCTCACGAATTAATTGATTAACGTATAAACGACTTTGGGACTTTGGGACTTTAATCGTGCATTTCTCAAGAGAGGATGGTTTACAATATACCATTCGGCTGCTCGGCCAAAAGGAATCGAAACAGTACTATCATTGTTGTAAATAATTTAATTTTCATAAGACATTTTAACAGGAGAAGCGATGAAGTAAAGTCGCTATCACTATGTTGTATATCACTAATTCGTGATACGAGGCACGATAAAATCAAATTCTACGAAATTTTACCATCTTGTATTATGTCAAAATAATAAAACAAAGATATTTTATTCGAAACTCAAAAAATGCTGGGTATCAGTGAAAACGTGACTTTACTGCGGATATATCAAAAACTTGGGGTACTTGCCGATCTATCAAAAACGGAACTATCAAAAACGAAACTTTTGCTATAATAGTAAATCACGTGAATTATTATACTAATACCTCTCGTCGAACGGTACTTTGACAATTCAATAGCGTGATGTCGGATGCGAAATACTTTCAAAGAGGTATGTAATTAATATAACTTCCTCTGCATAGTATATGGCTGTAGCTCACTTCATCTGCCCGTGTTCTCCCTTCTTTGCTATTAACAAAATAATCATATTCTGTGCATCTTGCACACCCCGTCCCATTTCATACTTTCTCATTTGTCCTCTCGCTTTCCCCGACATTTAAAAACTCTTGACAGGAAAAATACAAGAACTCCGTGCAGAATTGAATTCTGACAAAAAAGACAAGCAACATGTGAAGAAAAAGACTGTATTAAAAAAAATTGTAGCCAATATGACAATGGGCAACGATATGAGCCCGCTGTTTGCAGATGTTGTTGATTGTATGAAAATTCCCGTGCTGGAAATCAAAAAGATGGTCTACTTGTATCTAATCAATTACTCTAGAAGCAAACCCGATATGGCAGCAAAGGCGGTCGATGCGTTTGTAAAGGTGAACAATTGAATCGAGTGGTTTGTCAAGCTTTTAATGAGACGCGTACAATGCTTCTCATCTCTACCAGTCCTTTCCTTACAGGATGCTGAGGATAATAATCCTCTAATCAGAGCGCTTGCAATTAGAACTATGGGCTATATTAGTGTAGACAAGGTTATTGAGGCTCTTGTTGATCCGTTACGACAATCTCTCCGCGATGGGGACCCGTATGTCCGTAAAACAGCTGCTACTACTGTCGCAAAGCTCTTTATGCATGATAAGGAACTAGTCGAAAGCGAAGGACTTGTTGATAAGTTGAGAGACATGTTGACTGATTCTAATCCAACAGTAAGCCCATAACTCTCTCCTTTCGGTTGGGTAATTGTCCAGTAAAGTTCATACAATAACGCTATTCAAATCTTAGGTTGTCGCCAATGCCGTGGCTGCCTTAACCGAAATATCCGAGCGATCAGACCAGATACAGTTGAAGCTTAATATGTCCATTGCTAGTAAGCTCGTAGCTGCACTTAACGACTGTTCAGAGTGAGTATTGGCCTTTTTGACCAATAATTTATAACCGATATTGGCTGCCATTATTTACATATTCCTTTCAAATGGTTTATTACAGATGGGGACAAACCTACATACTAGAGGCACTGATATTTTACGTTCCTCAAGAGATGGGAGATGCCGAAATGTTGGCTGAACGTATTGCTCCAAGATTACAACATGCGAATTCAAGCGTTGTTCTTACGGCTGTCAAAGTTATAATATATCTTATGAATTATATGACTAAGGACGACGAAATCGTTGCCATGTGCAGAAAATTATCTCCACCATTGGGTATGTCAACGTTGTAGTTTTTGGTTATCCGATGTTAATCTTGCTTACTCTCTTGCTATGTCTTCAAGTTACTCTGCTGTCAAGTGGACCCGAGGTTCAATATGTGGCACTTCGTAATATTCTATTAATTATTCAAAGAAGACCGGAAGTACTCAAAAACGATATGAAAGTGTTCTTCTGTAAATACAATGATCCGATCTATGTCAAATTGGCTAAGCTTGAAATCATGTGTCGACTATCCAATTCGACGAACGTCGACCAAGTGCTTTCGGAGTTGAAGGAGTAAGCAAGCAGAAATTTACTGAGTGCTGCGTTCAACTAAGCGTATATTAATTGACTCTTACAACACCCTAGATATGCAACTGAAGTAGATGTAGATTTCGTGCGTAAGGCTGTCAGATCCATTGGAAGGCTTGCAGTAAAGATTGAATCAACAGCAGATCGATGCATTGCCGCCTTAATTGACCTTATTCAGACTAAAGTCAACTATGTCGTTCAAGAAGCTATTGTAGTGATAAAGGTAAATGATTTGCGTCGGTCAGAAAGTATAAACAGAAGGAAAGGTAGAGTTTGAAGAAAGGAAGAGCGGCATTTTGTAATAATAGTATAGATAGATTTAAGAGCTTAATGAGAATGATATTAATATGTAACGACTTTACTTTCAAGGACATTTTCCGTAAATATCCAAATCAATATGAAGTTATAATAGGAACGCTATGCGAAAACTTGGATAATCTTGATGAACCTGAAGCAAAAGCTGCAATGATATGGATCATCGGACAATACGCAGACAGGATAGAGAACGCAGACGTTCTGTTAGATGACTTCCTATATTGCTTTTTAGATGAGCCTGTTGAGGTGAGCTCCTTATGGCGCATGTCTCCATTTGTTCTTTCGTTCACTGTTACCAGGTTCTTAACCATGTCAATACTACTGTCTGTTGGTTTAATTAGGTACAATTAGCTCTCTTAACATCCACAATAAAGCTTTTTATAAAGCGTCCAGCAGCGGGTCAGGATCTCGTTACCAAAGTGCTTAAATGGGCCACAGAAGAAGTAGACAACCCGGATTTACGGGATCGCGGATACATATACTGGCGACTACTTTCGACTGATCTGGCTGCAGCCAAGAAAGTAGTTTTATCGGAGAAACTAAAAATCTCAACAGAGAGCGAAAACACGGATCAAATGCTCTTGGATGAGTTATTGTTACATATTTCTAGCCTATCATCAATATATCATAAGACACCACAGACTTTCATTCATCACACTAAAGTACGGCGCCTGATACCATCACCAGTATTAAATAGAAAGGTTAATGGAACGTCAACACCAATCCAAATCGTTAATGGAGGATCAAGGTATGCAACTTTTATATTTGAGATCCTTATGAGTGGTTAGCAAATGCTGACGTATTTTTTGTATATATAGTCGAACAACCGATTCTAATACACGCACGGATACTACTAGCGCTGAGCGAACTTTCAACAACTTGCTCCTGGATTTATGAAAATTAATTGAAAACTTAATAGAAGGATATTATTTATGAGTAAAAACTTTTTCTATACAATTGTTGCTCTCTTGACTTTATCAAAGACCCGAGACAACGCAAAATAATAACTTTTTATACCAGTTTGTAGTTGGTTTTTTGCGAGTATTCAAATGATTTGCCTTTTCCTATGAAACTGTGTCATGCTCGTCATTATTGGAAACATTGTAGTTCAAAACTAGCTCTTAAAGTTCTAATTGGAGATTATATACTTTTAGCTTTGTTTTCTATCAGTGAGATTTGTTATTTAATTTGAAAGTTTCAGGGTTAACTGTCAAGATTAATGTAAATTTATTGGGTGCGGGTGCTCTGGTGAGGTGGAGCATGAGCCATTAATTTTGGTGAGTAATAAATAAAAACCTAAACCAATTTGTGGTGAGATTGCGATCAATTACAATTGGATTGTGGTTGTTTTCCGTACCTTTACCATTTACTTCATGTTCGTATAGACCTCGAACTGTTTATTCGCCATTTTATAAAGATGCCCTTGTCCGACCAGAGTAGTGCGTTATATATACAGTGGTGTGCAAAAAAAATGAACTTTCTTAAAATCACGTTAGTTTCACAAGTATTGCATCGATTAAAGTGAA